CCACTCTTGGCACCCTCCCTGACCAGTCACCACTCTTGGCACCCTCCCTGACCAGTCACCACTCTTGGCACCCTCCCTGACCAGTCACCACTCTTGGCACCCCCCCTGACCAGTCACCCACTCTTGGCACCCTCCCTGACCAGTCACCACTCTTGGCACCCTCCCTGACCAGTCACCCACTCTTGGCACCCTCCCTGACCAGTCACCACTCTTGGCACCCTCCCTGACCAGTCACCACTCTTGGCACCCTCCCTGACCAGTCACCACTCTTGGCACCCTCCCTGACCAGTCACCACTCTTGGCACCCACCTGACCAGTCACCACTCTTGGCACCTGACCAGTCACCACTCTTGGCACCCTCCCTGACCAGTCACCACTCTTGGCACCCCCCCTGACCAGTCACCACTCTGGGCACCCCCCCTGACCAGTCACCACTCTTGGCACCCCCCTGACCAGTCACCACTCTTGGCACCCTCCCTGACCAGTCACCCACTCTTGGCACCCTACCTGACCAGTCACCACTCTTGGCATCCTCCCTGACCAGTCACCCACTCTTGGCACCCCCCTGACCAGTCACCCACTCTTGGCACCCTACCTGACCAGTCACCACTCTTGGCACCCCCCTGACCAGTCACCACTCTTGGCACCCTCCCTGACCAGTCACCCACTCTTGGCACCCTACCTGACCAGTCACCACTCTTGGCACCCTCCCTGACCAGTCACCACTCTTGGCACCCCCCTGACCAGTCACCCACTCTTGGCACCCCCCCTGACCAGTCACCCACTCTTGGCACCCCCCTGACCAGTCACCCACTCTTGGCACCCTCCCTGACCAGTCACCACTCTTGGCACCCACCTGACCAATCACCACTCTTGGCACCCCCCTGACCAGTCACCACTCTTGGCACCTGACCAGTCACCACTCTTGGCACCCCCCTGACCAGTCACCACTCTTGGCACCTGACCAGTCACCACTCTTGGCACCTCCCTGACCAGTCACCACTCTTGGCACCCACGTGACCAGTCACCACTCTTGGCACCCCACCTGACCAGTCACCACTCTTGGCACCTGACCAGTCACCACTCTTGGCACCCCCCCTGACCAGTCACCCACTCTTTAATGTCCACCATAAAATGTTGCAGAGATTATCGTGCAAAAACTACCAGTGATAATGTTTCCAGGAAGTGCCGCGTGCACCCAGCTGTGGAGGTCTTCGCAACTCTCTCATACATCCAATGTTTACTACTTCAAAAGTGCGTGCAAAACACTTCTTAAAATAGGAATTACTGAACGCAAACCTTAATGAATAACGAAGATAATAATAACGTTGTGTATCATGAACATGAACATCTCCCCCGCATACACACACACACACACACACCTCCCCTACACACACACACCTCCCCTACAAACACACACACACACCTCCCTACACACACACACCTACCTCTCCCCCCACAAACACACACACACACCTCCCCTACACACACACACCTCCCCTACAAACACACACACACACCTCCCTACACACACACACCTACCTCTCCCCCCACAAACACACACACACACCTCCCCTACACACACACACCTACCTCTCCCCCACACACACACACCTACCTCTCCCCCCACACACACACGCCTACCTCTCCCCCACAAACACAACCCCCCCTCTACAAACACCCCCCCCCTCCCCCAACACACCTAAAGTATCACATAGTAACACCCGGATGTACGTAGCGGTTACGAAGCAAGAGATAAGAACGAAGACCGGAGAACAAGTGCACAAGTAGGGAGAGACTTGAGGAAGGGTGAACACTTGAGCCAGAGCACCTACCTGACGACAGAAGAGAGGGTCAGTAAGACTAAGGGTAAGTGTAGCAACAGAGAAGTAGTGAAGTACACCCGCACCACCTACACATAACGAAGACACCCGCAGCTACCTCGCTTCTCACCCGCAGTACTGAAAGAAGCAGCGGCAATGTTAAATAAAACAAAATAATACAAACACTAATGTGGCCTCCAACACATTGGACACTGGGAGCTACCTTACCTCTGGAAAATGAGCAATGTAGCACATATTTTTAAGACTGAGGCATATGCACAATCCACTAAATTACCGACTAACATCTGAGACGATAGACCGTCGCAAGGCACTGGAGATCAGGCACTGACTGCTGGAATATATGAACAAAATAAGTGAATAAGTAGAAAACAGTAAGCTTCACAAGGCTAAGAATGTCTAGCGAGCCTGATACGGTGGCAAAACGGATGATATGTTTACATATCATCCGTATGATATGTAAATTTATATATGATAACGGATGAAATGTTGAGTAAACATCAGTCTTCAACAGTAAGGGAAGACCTTCAATAAAAGCCCCACAGTATATCAGTATATTAGTTGGTAATATACTTTACTGACCGGGAAGGGTCTGAAATTGTAACAAAGCATATACGAGGGTCTTCGAGAGTCAATGTTAGACCAGCATGGAATAAAAACAGACTAGATTCACGAAGCAATTACGCAAACACTTACGAACCTGTACATCTTTTCTCAATCTTTGACGGCTTTGTTTACAATTATTAAACAGTTAATGAGCTCCGAACCACCAGGAGGCTGTTTATAACAATAACAACAGTTGATTGGCAAGTTTTCATGCTTGTAAACTGTTTAATAAATGTAACCAAAGTCGTCAAAGATTGAGGAAAGATGTACACGTTCATAAGTGCTTGCGTAACTGCTTCGTGAATCTGGTCCCAGGATTGCAAGAAAGGTCAGGCTAATGCTGTTTCAAATTAATAATAAAACTTAAGAAAATGGTGGCAGAATCCTCCTGAGGGGAAAACCATCTACAAGACAGAACAACCGAAAAAATAACCGGTAGTGAACGTGTACCATAGCCTACCTGAGGCTCAGGTCAAGTCTCCATAATAATGCTATGTATGGACCTAAATAAGAAAACCACTCATAATACACACACCAAATGTGTGTGTATATTGTATGCAACTTCTACAGCAAACCTAAACCATGTAACACACACACACACACACACACACACACACACACACACACACACACACACACACACACACACACACACACACACACACACACACACACACACACACACACTTGAGAATGTGCGAAGATTTTCCACGAGACTGACTCTAAAACCAAAGGGCCCAAGAGTCAGACACCTCTCCCAGCAAGTACCACTAGCTAAGCACGAATAGATAAGCAAGCATGCATGCACGCACGCGGCCGCATACGCACATACACGCCCACATACAATCAAACTCCCATGCTATTTATAATCCATGGAAATAAATTAATACATTTATAGTTGAAATTGCACAAATGAGGAACGGTTCACGATACAACATGGTTGTAGTGGAGACAGCCATATCCTCCTACTCGCTACAATTTACAGTGAATTGATCATAGTGAATTGACAATCGACTTGAGAATGGTCCAGGACGGACCGAAACGTCGTCGTCCCTTCACCTTCTAGTGTGGTCTGGTCAACTTACTTTAGCCACGTTATTGTGACTCATCGCCTGTAATTTACAGTGATAATCTTTGTAATAGTTTAATCTTTGTAACATTGAGCAAATCCATAAGGGCCGTGACGAGGATTCGAACCTAGCTTTGATCCGAAGCTTTGTAACGTTGTCTTCTATCAGAAGTGATGGATAGACCAATGTACTTAGGACCTCCAATTTTATATGTTCGAGTGATAATCTTTTATCAGCTACACGAAACAAATTACGTACTTTCTGATCAACTTTTATATTTTCCCAATTACAAAAATACAATTAATACGCATATATACTTGGTTAATAATATTAAAGCTCCTTTAAAGAGCCCATAACATTAATTTTTTTAATTAATTTTGAGAATCACCATTTGGCCTCTAGTATGAATCTAGTTTAAATTCGTAATTATATTACAAAAGAGTTACATTGGTTCTCCTTCGCGAACCAGCGACTAGAGCGCGTCTCAGACACCTGAAGAGCACTCAACACCCCGTCAATCACAGTGAACCACTTAAGCTGGTTATGAACCAGTTATGAACCTGTATCGGACCAGTTACAGGCGAGCAGCCTGTAACATCACACTACAAAGTCTGCGAGAAAACATTTACTAAGTAGCGACTCTATTTCATTAGGTATTTTAATTGCACTGTTAAAATATTATTGTTTAATCCAACTACAAATTCTTTAAAAATTTTGCAACCACAGTTGAAATTAACTGCCTATAATACAGTCACCATGTCGTCGAATAATATTCTACCATTCAATATCATACGTATATTTCGTTCTCAATATATAACCACTTCAAACATCTGTCTTATAGTAAATGCGTCCAAATGGAGTTCATACTGACGGCTGTGATGCTTCAAGACTCAATAAACACCTGTTTACCGTCTCGAAGATAATCACTGTCCACACACACACACACACACACACACACACACACACACACACACACACACACACACACACACACACAAAAATGACCTAGTGACGCAGTTCATCTGGAAAATCCGTAGAGCTTGTCACTGAATTATACCGCAAAGCACCGGCTCCTGATCACTGATATGTTGATTGCGGTTAATGGGGTAAGAATACGAAAGTGCGCTCCCTACACCCACACATATCCACCCGCATACCCACACACATATCCACCCGTATACCCACACACATATCCACCCGTATACCCACACACATATCCACCCATATACACACACACATTCACCCATACACATCAACCCTAACACCCCGAACACATCCACCGTAACACCCCCACACATCCACCGTGACACCCCCACACATCCACCGTGACACCCCCACACATCCACCGTGACACCCCCACACATCCAGACGTACACATACACCCACCCGTACACGTACATCCACCCGTAACACCCACACACATCCACCCGTATACAGACGACAGATATACAGCGATAAGAGATAGTGCAACATAGTGACTCACACTTGGGCCCGCCTGCCACCAAGCCATCACCATCACCCACTCTCTCACCTGGGGGGATGAGAAAATTATGACACCCGTCATCCACCTACCACTAAGATACAATACTAAATGTCTCAGCAATTATATATCACCAGGCTCTGCCACTGTATTATTTGTATAAATATATATATATATATTCAATATCAACAATGTTATAACTTAAAAATTACACAAACTATAACTACAATATAACAAAAATTATATATCATATAGGATAGAAGCAGGGAAGAAGGCGGTATCTGAGTAGTCATCGCGTTTCTAAAATTATCCCAGATATCAAAGACCTGATTATAAGATATCTTTGGTGACATGAAGCGTCTTTGCCCACCACCACTAACCTTGCGTCAACCACCCCACCCACCACCACCAACCTTACATCAAACAGCCCACCCACCACCACCAACCTTACATCAACCAGCCCACCCACCACCACCAACCTTACATCAACCAGCCCACCCACCACCACCAACAAAACATCTTCCAGCCCACCCACCACCACCAACCTTACATCAACCAGCCCACCCACCACCACCTTTATGTCAACCAGCCCACCTACCACCACGCACCATACATCAACCAGCCCACCCACCACCACCAACAAAACATCTTCCAGCCCACCCACCACCACCAACCTTACATCAACCAGCCCACCCACCACCACCAACCTTACATCTACCAGCCCACCCACCACCACCAACCTTACATCAACCAGCCCACCCACCACCACCAACCTTACATCAACCAGCCCACCCACCACCACCAACCTTACATCAACCAGCCCACCTACCACCACCCACCATACATCAACCAGCCCACCACCACCACCAACCACACACATCAACTATATCACAAAAACTCTTGGATCATTTAACCAAGCTCAGTCAAAAGATTTCCTCGTATTTCAAGAGAAAACTTGAGCAGAATATACAACACGATCGAGTTATCAATGTGAGGGGTCGAAGTTCTTAACAAAATCAGAATTTGCGGATCAAATTCGTACAAGAGAATGGCTGTTGAAGATGAAGTTCCTTGACATATGCCAAGTTGGCTCATTTTGTCAGGGAAGGAAAGGTCCCTCGACTAAGAAAATCTCCACATGCCAGGAGGAGGTAAGCAAGATTCCCATGAACAACTTACTACCCATTCTCTGGATAACTGACTGCTACCCTTTCCCTCTATTCCTCTTCCTTGCATTTACAATAATTAATTAAAAAATTTAATTTACCCCGGGAAAGCAACAATTTATCGGTAGTCAACAAAGTGCTCCACAGACGGGTCTTGAAAGATTAGGGAACAAATATCTCGAAGAAAAGCATATGGTAGCAGTTCATTCCATAAGCTGGCTGTGAAGACGAAGACGAAGTGCTTAAATCTTGGATTGGCGGAAGATACAGTAGCTAAGACGCTGGATAACATGTCACATGGCTTACTGTACAGCTGGGCCCCTCTCATGGTTGACAGCTGGACCCCCTCCCGTGGTTGACAGCTGGACCCCCTCCCGTGGCTGACAGCTGGACCCCCTCCCGTGGCTGACAGCTGGACCCCCTCCCGTGGCTGACAGCCGGGGTCCCAGCCACTCGTCATCTTGAGAGCCTTGACCCCTGTTGCTGTCATCTTGGAAACCCTCCACGCACCTCCCTTGACACCATACCAAGCACAGTCTAAACCCTCATATATGTATTTGTGTACGCACAAACTTACACATTAAGCACTGCTAATAAAGGAGAAGTGCGGATCTCTAAATGTCGAGGTGTTGAGAGCCCTGTGTAGCGACTACTGAGCACTGGGGGTACCTAGTTGTCCTTAAGGGGGTTGAGCTTTGGCTCCTTGGTCCCGCCTCTCAACTGTCAATCTACTCGTGTACAGATTCTGGAGCCTATTGGGTTCTATGAAATCTACATTTGAAACTGTGTACAGAGTCTGCCTCCACCATTTCACTGCCCAAGGAGGGTGGAGGGGGGTGGAGGACCGTGTCACGGCTTGACTAATTACTCCACGTCAAAGTACCAAGCACCAATTAGATCTTAAGTCTGTCTTTCTGAGGCTTCCCTTCCTACATACCCATCCCCTCACCAAACCTCTATTTCTTATTATTCTCTGTTTATCTTCCTACCTTTCTTACCACACAACGTGGTCTTAGAAATTCACGCCCAATACTCACTACAAACCCAAAAGCAGTTACTTTTAATGTAGTAAGGAAACTAAGAATAACCAGCAAAATCATTTGAATAACTATCTAAATATTTTATTTATAGCAATATTAAGAATGCTTCTATTACTGGCACAGTTAACGAGCAACCAAAGATATTGTTAATATAAGGTGTGTGTGGGGTGGAGTGTACTCACCTAGTTGTGCTTGCGGGGATTGAGCTTTGGCTCTTTGGTCCCGCCTCTCAACCGTCAATCAACTGGTGTACAGATTCCTGAGCCTATTGGGCTCTATCATATCTACACTTGAAACTGTGTATGGAGTCAGCCTCCACCACATTACTGCCTAATGCATTCCATTTGTCAATGGAGTGTGGGCTCCAGCATGGTACAACACACACACACACACCTGCTGTTAGTACAAGGTGTGTGTGGTGGAGGTGTGTGCTCCCGCACGGTACACACACACACACACACACACACACACACACACACACACACACACACACACACACACACACACACACACACACACACACCCGCCCGCTGTTAAAGAGGATGGTGCGACGCCTTCGTAACAAAGCCTCGGAGCAAGATCACATTCCGTCACCTTCCGCGAGAATGCAGCGCCTCTCGCCCTAAGAAATTTACGCTAGACTTGCGTGAACATGTCCCTGAAACTCTTCTATAATTGTCCCAATATACACTACTAAACCATAGAGGACAAACTTCCTTAATTTTGTATCACGTCCGTGCACAATATGTACAGTCTAAAACGTGAACAAACCTCATCAGTAACTGTCGAAGCAGTCAACAAAATCCTATGTTAAGTTCCAGCTGAAGGTCTTAAGAACCAGTCAGACAATTCATGTAACCCATTGCTTACGACCTGAATACGGCTTCCACACGAACCCCTCCAAATACAATTAATTATTGAGGATAATGTCTTTGATATATCCAGGCCATTGAGGTAAGCCCGTACCAGCCCCTCATGTCATCCGTAAACTGGGACCCAGTACCCGGCGACAGGTACTGTGCGGGAACACGTGTTAAGGGAGAGAGGGAACATGGAGCGTGACTATGTGAGCACTGTGCAGCTCACCCAGCCTACAGTGCACGGGTGGAGATACACATGTGCTACAAGTGTCTAATAAAACTAAATATTGCGCTTCACTGGCCAATGAAAGCGCTGGCGTGTTTGTGTGATACAGGAGGCCAACCTACTTTCAAAACACCGCCCTCTTACTCCTACATTCTTGGCATGCATTACTGGGAATAAAGTGACGGCGGAAGATCAACTAGAAGTGACGAGCTGTAAATGTCTTGACTGTGGCACATTAACCCGCCGTCATACATGACCCGAAGCGTATTAAAATTGTCACGTCAAATTACAGTGGCGAAGCAAGAGCGCCAGCGGTCAATAAACACAACTTAAAGATGTCAAGCGAGAAAGCAACAACGGGGCCAACGCAGACTTGTGAGACCAACCTCGCTTCGTTTACCATTCCTTCCCCCCCCCTCCCCCCCCCCCCCCCCCCACTCCCTCCTTCCCCAACCCAGCCACCCAAATAACCGAGTCCCAACACCTTAAAGGTAAACAGCCGAGGGCGAGCCGTCTTCCGCACCTCCCTTCACCAATATCGCCAAACAACTGCACTGCAAGTCTGTAATACAAGACATTCCCTCTAGCCATTGCCAAAAGCAAGTTAATAATATATCCAAATTAAATTTGACGATCAGGAAATCTAGTACGAGTCTTCTGTGTACATAAATGATTTTAAACACTGTATGAAGTTTGATGGAAGCGCGGTGAAGTAGGTGGCCAAGGCGGGAGCCGACTTTAAGACACAATTGGAGACAGAGAAACTAGACTTGGTTATAAGATGAATGATATTAGGGGAAGGGGGAGCGGGTTAAGCAGTAGGAAGAGTATGCCAGAGTTGGTAATAGTGGAAAGGCAGTAGGGAGGAAGACCAGCAGCAGATAGGGAGTAATGATGGGGAGGGATAGAGAAAAGGTCGAGATGGAGAGAGACAGGATGCTGGTAGCATCAATTAATGGGTGATAAGGACTGGGGTGTGACAGGTGACATAATGGGGGATGATAGTAGAAGATATGGCGGGAGTGAGACAGGTATGGGAAACGTATTAGAATAGTTGCATTAAGGGAAGGGTCAACCTTCGTCCAGAGCCGGTCGGCCGAGCGAACAGCACACTGGACTTGTGATCATGTGGTCCCGGGTTCGATCCCAGGCGCCGGCGAGAAACAATGGGCAGAGTTTCTTTCACCCTATGCCCCTGTTATCTAGCAGTAAAATAGGTACCTGGGTGTTAGTCAGCTGTCACGGGCTGCTTCCTGGGGGTGGAGGCCTGGTCGAGGACCGGGCCGCGGGGACACTAAAGCCCCGAAATCATCTCAAGATAACCAGAGAGACAATGACTGTCCACGTTACTGTACAACTGTCACCGTCACGCCCATAACAGTCAGTGCCCCAAGGTCTTTGACGGGAGGGAGACCGCTGAATGGTCCGTATCAGACGCCCCGGCACCATGAATCACAGGTGTGGCCCCAGCCTGGCACTCTGCCCATCACCACACCCTCCTACCAACACCCCCAGCCTCCCCTACAACACCCCCAGCCTCCCCTACAACACCCCAGCCTCCCCTACAACACCCCCAGCCTCCCCTACAACACCCCCAGACTCCCCTACAACACCCCCAGCCTCCCCTACAACACCCCCCTCCCCTAGACTCCCCTACAACACCCCCAGACTCCCCTACAACACCCCCAGACTCCCCTACAACACCCCCAGCCTCCCCTACAACACCCCAGCCTCCCCTACAACACCCCAGCCTCCCCTA